AACATTGAAATACATAAAGTCACCATCAAAACTTCTATAAATCACGGTTGACAGCAGAGGAAATATATTCACCATAAAATTCAAAACAAATTACAAGGATAATGATTTAATGTTATCACTACACAGTATCTCCTTAGCTACAAATAAAATATGTGAACATTATGTATTTTAGCAATGTCCATACAGACTGAGAATCCTGCTAAGTAGCCTTGTTGTAAGTGCAGGGCAGGCGAATGTGCACATAGATAAGATAAATGACTGAACAAACATTAAACAGTACTTACAGTATACAGGTGGTTGTGGAGGCGTACTTGTCCTGGCAGAGAGATGTGGTATCAGCATGGAGTGACTTCTGTGTGAAGTGACTGGATGTCCTTTGGGCATATGGGGAACCTATGCTCTCTTTTTAAGGTTCCCACCCTCACAAGATGGAAATTTCTCAGGTTTCCCAATGTAACGCAGTGTACTGCACAGCTCAACACTCCTGTTTTCTGACTCTAGAACACGTTCATGCATCCTTTAAAGGCAAAGTCCCATTGCTTTACAACACTTATACATTTTAAATGTATAAGTGTAATGTCAATTTTGGAAAGAGGCAAAGGGTTATGTTTTCCAACTGTTTGTTGTTGTTTCTCTCCAACAGGACTTCCTCGTGACGCTGATGGTGGACCTCTTTATTTGCTTTAGCAGGAAAACACACAAGTATGAACACATTTACATGTATGAGGGACATTCCAAGAGTGGTGGTGGGTGGAGGGGAGGAACCAAGGTTAAAACTCCTTTTTTTTATGAGAATAGAACGATTTTAAAAGTATCTCTACCAACTTCTCTGCCTTGTGTCTATTGCTATTTTAAACCTGTTTTCCATGCATGAATACAAGTACATGTATTTGTATGTAATGTATTTTCTCTTGATTAAATTAGACGTACCAGAAACACAGATTGTGCATTTAATCCAGTTTGTGCATTCTTTCTGAATATTATTTTTTTAGTATGTTAAAAGTTTGTAAATTTTGGAAATAAAGTTGGAAAGTTATATTTTTTGGACTTTATTAATCAGTAGCCTGAGCTGCAAACAAAGACAGAAAATCGACACACTGGAAAAACGAACTAGAAATAAGTAAAAATGTCTTAAATTACGTGCATTTACCCTTAATTTGAGTAGGTAAATATGATGCTTTGC